CCCCGTTCTAGAAAAGCCCAGTCGTAGATGGGTTTTATATCCGTCACGCCTCCCGGACAAAGGATCACCTGATACTCCCGAGCACAATGGAGTGCCAGGCCTGTGTGGCAAAGGGCAGACAGCCTGCGGAGCCGATAGCTGTCGGGCACAAACGGCTGGCAGCGGAGACGTCCTTGGGGCTGGCTCACATCGCCGGTTTTGGGGAAGTGAGATAAAAAACGGAGTGAATGGAGGTTAAGCTTCTCTGTCCTATAGACTGCAGATGGATTTACAAAAAGCCTTTTAGAGGCTGTGAAATCGCTGGAAGAGGAGAGAGGAAAGCCTTTGAATGTGACGAGATTCGGCAGGGATTTGAGCAGGTCTCGGACCCCAGCACTCGACCAGCTGTTCCACAAGGGCAAAGGGTCCTTACGGGAAATACCGCAAGGCATAAAACCGTGTTGGGGAAGGGCCGTGGCTCAGCAGTAGAGCTTCTGCTTGGCATGTAGAAGGTGCCAGGTTCAGTCCCTGGCACCTCCAGTTAAAAGGTTCGGCTGCTGGTGATGTGGCCTCCCTCTAGCTGAGACCTGAGAGAGCCCCGGCTGATCTGAGTAAGAACATCAAAAGAGCCCTGCTGGATCAGACCCCTGGACCATCTAGTCCAGCATCCCGTCTCACACAGTGGCCAACCAGTTCCTCTGGAGGACCAACAACAGGGCAGAGAGGCCGAGGCCTTCCCCTGATAAGAACCTCAGGACAGCCCTGCTGGATCAGAGCAGTGGTCCATCTAGTCCAGCGTCCTGCCTCGCACTGCCAGTTCCTCTGGAGAGCCAACAACAGGGCACAGAGGCTGAGGCCTTCCCCTGATGTTGCTTCCTGGCATTGGGATTCAAAGGATTAGTGTCTCTGAATGTGAATTACGTTTTAAAATAACCCAATGGCCATCGGTCTTGGACCAGCCAATTCACGCTAATGCTACCCTCTGATTCCACCCTTGTGTTGAAGCCACTGCAGTTTTGGCAGAACATCCAGTAAAACTGGAACAATGGAGAGAAGATCAGCCTGGCTCCTTGCCCAAGGGTGACACGCAAATAGAGACTGCTCCGTCGATAGACGTTTTTGATGCTTGTCGTGCAGTCCCAGGTGTGTGTGACGCTCACTTAACCTGAGTATTTCTCCAACCTTAGGTTCGGGTGGGATGTTCCTGTGATTCTGAGGAACTCGGAGGATACGGAATCGAGCGTGAAACTCTGCCAGAAGCAGATGCGGCAGGTGAAGAACCCATTCAGCTTGGACGTCGGCAGCCCTGCAGTCGCCTCCCTTGCAAGTCAGTGGCCAGTTTTTCTCATTCCAGTTGTCTCCTCCCTACCCCTACCCTCTTTGCTCCCCGCCGTATCAGGTCCCGGTTTTCCCAACAGAAGAAGAAGAAGAGATTGGATTTATACCCGGCCCTTCACTACCAGTCCCTCCAGTCCAGTCTCACACAGGGGCCAACCAGTTCCTCTGGAGGGCCAACAACAGGGCAGAGAGGCTGAGGCCTTCTCCTGATAAGAACAGAAGAGCCCTGCTGGATCAGACCAGGGGTCCCTCTAGCTCACCATGGCCAGTGGCCACTGGAAGCCCTATCCTCCATAAGTAGGCAGTACTGACTTTGATGGATCAAGACCATTTCACGTGTGTAGACTGAGCAGCGGGATGTACAGCGGGTTGATGGGAGGGCAAATGCTCCAACCTGAGCTTACTGGTGCAGGGCAGAGTGGGGAGAAGCAAAATGGAGGTACAGTCGCTGGGATACATTTGAAGAGGTTGGCGACCCAGACACACCAGGAAGCCTAACCTGTTCTGGTGGAAGCCTCTGTGCTGCCCATCGTGGTCAATCAGTCATTTTGAGACAGAAAGATGTTAAGTGTGTACTTGGTAGGAGCTGCACTTTCAGTAGGGTAATGGTAATTTATCCTGAAGTTCACTGACATACATTATTTCCTGAGAGCCAGTTTGGTGTAGTGGTTAAGTGTGCGGACTCTAATCTGGGAGAACCAGGTTTGATTCCCCACTCCTCCACATGCAGCTGCTGGTGTGACCTTGGGTCAGTCACAAGCTCTGGCACAGCTGTCCTTGAAAAAGAGCAGTTTGTGTCAGAGTTCTCTCAGCCCCACCCACCTCACAGGGTGTCTGTTGTGGGGAGGGGAAGGGAAAGGAGTTTGTAAGCCGCTCTGAGACTCCAAGTGAAGGGCGGGGTATAAATCCAATCTCTTCTTCTCTTCTTCTTCTTCTTCTTCCTCTTTCTGTCAACATGGAGCCAAGGGTTTTGGAACACAGATCCAGACGAGTTAGTCGTGTTAGTCTGCTGCTGTAAAACAGTAAAAAGCCCAGTAGCCCCTTTAAGACGAACAAGCTTTATTGCAGCACAAGCTTTCGAGAAACACAGCTCTCTTCGTCAGATGGGTCTGACGAAGAGAGCTGTGTTTCTCGAAAGCTTGTGCTGCAATAAAGCTTGCTTAAAGGGGCTACTGGGCATTTTAAGGTTTTTGGAAGTAAGCACCAACTTGCCCAGCACCCTGGACCGGCTCATGAGCTTTGAAACAGTTGAACAGACCCCCCCCCCAAATTATCTAGAGATGTTTCTTTCTTGAATTCATTTATACCCTGAATTTCTCCCCAATGGCTTGTATCATCTCTCCTCCGTTTTACCCTCACAACCCCATTTCTCCCCTTATTGCAGGATGAAGATCCATTTAGTAACCTGGGAAGTAAATTTGCTGCAAAGAAGCAACTGCCTTTCCACTCTTCCTGCTCTATAAAAATGGAAACAGAACCGTTAAGTTAGAGGGTGAGAAAAAAGGAATGGAATGCCAAGGATTGCTGGAAAGGGAACCCGAGCAGCTGACATTTGAAGGGGTGTGTGTGTGTTACAGCACTGTACAGGCACAGGCTGGATTTCAGAGCTTACAGATGTTTCCGAAGAATAAAATTCCCAAGACGCTCTCCAGCTGAAACAAGGGCTCCCGATTCCAAGGTCACTCGCTCCCTCAACAAAGAGAGCCAGTTTGGTGTCCTGGTTAAGTGTGCGGATTCTAATCTGGGTTTGATTCCCCACTCCTCCACCTGCACCTGGCTGGGTGACCTTGGGCAAGCCGTAGCTCTGATAAGAACTGTCCTTGAAAAAGAGCAGTTTGTGTCAGAGTTCTCTCAGCCCCACCCACCTCACAGGGTGGGGAGGGGAAGGGAAAGGAGTTTGTGAGCCGCTCTGAGACACCTTTGGGTAGTGAAGGGCGGGGTATAAATCCAATCTCTTCCTCTCCTTCTTCTTCTTCTTCTACCTCACAGGGTGTCTGTTGTGGGGAGGGGAAGGGAAAGGAGTTTGTCAGCCACTCTGAGACTCCTCTGGGTAGTGAAGGGCGAGGTATAAATCCAATCTCTTCTTCTTCTTCTTTTACCTCACAGGGTGTCTGTTGTGGGGAGGAGGGGAAGGGAAAGGAGATTGTCAGCCGCTCTGAGACTCCTTTGGGTAGTGAAGGGCGGGGTATAAATCCAATCTCTCTCTCTCTTTCTTCTCAAGCGAGCCTCGTCGTTTCCCTTTTCAAAACCAAAAAAGCATCTCTCTCTCTTTTTTAAAGAGCACGCCAGAGCACACAACCGATACCTGGATTTGACATGAATTACCTGGGATATTTGGAAAGGGGTGTTTCCCCCGGGCGTAAATGCTCACCTCTGCAACAAATTCCTCTTCCCGATCGCCTCC